AGTAACCAAAAGGTAAAAAAGGTAATGAATGTAATTTATTTGAAGTCAAAACTAACCTAGCCTGTCTTGTTTAACTAATCTGAACGCACAGAAAGAGATTGGCTCCTATGTTAACTGTTAAATTTTGCTTAACCCAAGAATTTTAAAGAATACTGATGGAAAATTTTGATGTGACGTTTTCATTCTCCCTGTGTTATTAAGAAATTGTTTTCAGGTACTACTGATAATTAAGGCAGAGAAGCTGCAATCTGGACCAAAGAGTGAAGTTGGATTCACACCAATAAGATCAAAAGACCTGAGGACTGGACTGTAATACCCAAAGTATTACAAAGTGATATTACTGAGTGATACCAAATGTACTCTTGAGCAGAGACCGGCGGTAATGAACTGATCCAAGGAATGAGCTAAGAATCACGCCTAACTGGGAAGTAAGACCCAGCCTGTATCAGTAGTGTTATAAATGCAACGGCAGATTAAGGATAAAAAAAGATAAATTTATTATAAATTAACAAAACAGCAAAACAGCGAGGAAAAACCACAATAAATGAACAGCGCAGCGCTGGGTGGACAGGGTCTATACGCAAGGTATAGGTGTTCCCAAATCCACGTCTGAGGGTTCTTTGGCCTGGGTTTTTATAGGGATTTTATGTCCCCAGGCTAGAATTCCAATCAGTTTCCATTCACCAAGTGTCCCTGATTGTCAGGTGAATGGATTTCCTGGCCTAGAAGATTGAGTCAGTAAGTGTCCGGGCAGAGTCTCCTCAAATGCAAAGTGATTCTGTATGTATTTTAACATATTTCATCACAGCAGAGTCGAGGGATCTGGGCTAGTGCCGATGGATATCTCGGAGGAGTTGTTTCCTCTTTGTCCTTCTTGATTGAGTTACTCTAGCATAGGTTTGGCGGGTGTGGTGTTCAATCCTGGCAACGATCATTTTCCTGAGGCTCGTCCCTTTTGTTTTGCTTGATGGTCTCGGCCGAAGTCGGCCGGGCGTTGCCTAGGTCCGGAGGTAGACTTTCAGGCTAGTTCTTTTGTCTCTATGATGGTCTTTGTCCTGTTCTTTCCTCCGAGTTGATGTGCCTGCCGAGGTTTGTTATCTGGGGGGGGGGTTCTTTTGCAATCTGTAACTTTGGAAGAGGAATTCTGCCTCGACCTGGAGGAGAATTCCTCATTCCATATCTTCATCATTTATAATTACATATACTTTATTTAAACCTTTTCTTTCGAATTTTTATTCATCCAATTCTTTATTACAGTAGTTTCAAATCCTGCCTGGACAAGTTCTGGGACACTTTGATATCCACCTTGGGGAGGAAAACTCCCACTCCAAACAGGAGGACTGGGGCTGTTTTGGTTGGGAAATCCTCGTATATTTTTACTTTTGCCTGTGATTTGTATAAAGGAAGGGGGAGAACCACAACTTCCATCAGTGCCACATCATATACCTTGTCTAAACCATCCCAATACGGGACATGCTATCTGGATTAAATATAAGTGTTTAAATTAGAGAATAATAGGTATTGTGGTCCACAAAGTTAAGCCTCTCATTGCAGGAAGTGTTAGGTGTCAAATCTATTAAGAATAACTTAAATGATAACTTTTTTTACAGATGGGAAATTACTAGTGCGTGTTGAGTGGGAAGTACCTGAGGAACGGTGGGAAACTGCTGTTAAAAGGTGTCAAAAGAAATTTGCTTGGAAATTACAAAAGAGGAAGTGACAAGGAAATAGGGGGCAAGACCAGACTGACCACTACAACTCGCCACCGAGAAGAATATAAAACACCTGCTGTGAGCTGCAACCTCATAGGCAGGATTGGTGGGGGTGTAAGCCATACTGGACCCCTATTATTCCTTCTTCTGTCACTTATCCTTCTCCCTTTTGGGACACCAGCAAAGCCATGTTACAAATGCTATCAAAAGCTTTACATGGAATGACACCGGGGTTTCTTTCTTATTACCCACACCAGTATCAATAATCACTGCTATAACCCATCCAAATTAAGTACCTGTATGCATAAAGGGAAAATATTAGACCACAGAAAATCTAGGAACAAGTAGTAACAGATTAGAAAACAACTGCCCAAAAAAGAGAAAAAGGTGGATTTTCTTCACAGTTGTTGCCAGGAGAAATCACCAAGATTTGGTAAGAGAGCAAATGGTAAGTGAAAAGATAAAGCCAACACAGCAACCTAGACCTGTATTAACCTCACATCAGGACATGTAAGCAAAGCTCAAACAGCAATTAAATGGAGAAAACTTCTTCTATT